ACTTAGATAGCCGAAGTGGCGCAGTGGTTAAATGCAGGCTACTTCAGCTGACTGCAATTCAGCAGTTCAGCTGTTCAAATCTCACCGGCTCAGGGTTGACTCATCCTCCCATCCTTCCGAGTTGGGTGAAATGAGGACCCAGACTGTTGGGGCCGATATGCTGACTCTGTAAACCGCTTAGAGAGGGCTGAAAGCCCTATGAAGCGGTATATAAGTCTAACTGCTATTGCTATTGCTATACTGTTCGTGTTTTAATCTTGTAAGCCGCCGAGAATCAAGTGTGTGAGACGGGCAGCTTTATAAACTGAATATAAAAATAAAAAATAAAATAAAAAGTAAAATAAAAAAGTAAAGTGAAATATTTATTCATTTATAAACCATGAACTCTAAAAAAAAATGCTTCTTATCATTTGGGCTGTTTATATTTCTCCATAACTCTTCCTAAAATGGCACTAGAATAATCTACATCTTCTCGTCTAGGCATAAAGAAAATGAAAAAGTTTCATTCCTTTTGAAAGATGAGCAGACCACCATCAGCAAGCGTCATGTGAACGAGAAAAGTTTTCTCAAAGATGTCAACAAGAGGAGCAGAGTGTATGTGGCCAAGGCCAGCGGTGGATTTAAACCAAAAGAAGCAGCTAAGCCAAAAACAACAGAATTTGCCTTACCTGGGAAAACAGTCGGGCCTAAATCAGCCGCTGCCAACAAGAACAAAATGAAGCCAGAAGCTTCAAAGGGGGACAACCTTATAATTGGTACAACTTAGCTTTTAAAATATATGAAATAAAATGTACTAATTGCAAGCAAAAAGAATGCATTTGTATTTCATTCTCTACGTTCTTCTGTTAACGGAAGAATCAACATTTGGATTGTTTAGCTATACCGGCTGAAAATCCCACCTGGGAATGAGAACTGCTGTGTGTTCTTTTGTCTATTATTGTTATTAACTTTTTCATTGATTTGTTTGATTATAAGGTTTGTGCTTTGCTAGATGCACAGAAATAGAAGCAAGTTGTTTTAATATTAAATTAAATTTTACTTAAATGTGCCACCAAGTTGTTTCAGCTCCTATTGACAACACAGATAGATTTTCTCCATGACAATTTATTCCTGACCTATTCTTAAATGTCCCCCAAAGATGCGCCTTTCGCTAATGTAGCTGAATCTTTCCAAGTTATTGTTTGTCATCTTAGTTTCCTTCCATATTTTCATATTTCCATGTCTTCCATCTTAAAGCCTTTTCCAGAAAGCTGGGCCTTCACGTAATGAGTTCTGAAGTAGGATAATTTGAAGCCGGTCATTTGTCCCCCGAGTGAGAGCTCTGGGTTGATTTGTTTGATGATCCATTGATTTCTTCTCTTGGCTGTCCACAGCGTTCTCAGGAGTCTTCTCCAAAAGTTCAAAAATGTCAATGTTTTTCCTATCCTGCTTCTTCAAAGTCCACCTTTCACTTCCATGCAGTGTCTAGGGAATAAGATGGCTAGGGAATAAGTTGCCATCATTATAGGTAGGGGGGGCCTGATGGCATTTCAATGTTTTCCAAGACATTCATGGCTCCTCCAGTGATTTATGAAACTCTTTAAGTTTCTTCCTGATATTTTTGTCTTCCTAGGCTTTGGCTTATCTTTTCTTGGTAATTTCCACAGTTTGTTTTCATCTCTTTATGTGTGTGTGTGTGTGTGTGTGTGTGTGTGTGTGTGTGTGTTGTATTTGTGCTGATAAATAAATAAAGGGAGACCTTTATTTATTTATCAGCACAAATACAACACAAATGGAACAAAGGCAACAGTAAAAATATTGGGTTTCTGTCTGGATGGTCTCTTGTGACGAGCCGATGGACAGAGAATGGAAGCAGTGAACTTCCTCCCATATTTGGGCATATCAGGGGTTGTGACACTAAATACATACATACATACATACATACATACATACATACATACATACATACATACATACATACATACATACGCATCCAAGGTCCTTGGAGATCTTCTAGTCCAACCCCCCGCTTAGGCAGGAAACCCTACACCACTTCAGACAAATGGCTATCCAACATCTTCTTAAAAACTTCCACAGTTGGAGCATTCACAACTTCTGGAGGCAAGCTGTTCCACTGATTAAAGGTTGACTTTATTAAGATGAATAGGTAGCTCTGTGTAGCCTGCAATCGCATTATAAGTCTGTATTTCTAGGCCATCAACATTATGTTTTTCAAATTTTCAAACTGTTACAAAATTCTTTTAGGACCTACCAAGTCAGAATCAACCAGGGTAGAATTTGTGGGATCCTATTCCAAGCCAGATCTTGAGATTTTCAGAAAACAACGAATCTTTTGCACCGTCAAAGTGAAACAACGATGCCCAGGACTCAGATCCCGAAGAAGGAAAAACAGAGATTTGAAGTTGCTCATTACATTTTAATACCTGAACAAAAACTTGAAAGGCACCCAAAATAATTTTGAGACAGCAGGATAGAATCTGAGAGACGGTGAATTCTAATCCTGATTTAGGCAGAAACCCAATGGGATGATCTTGCTCTAGGAAGCAGGCAATAGCCAACTACTTCTTGTCCAGGCAGTTTGCCAGCAGTCAAAAACCTCCCTCAAAGGGATGCATAACCATATAAACATGAGTGTCTCTCAATTATTAGTTCTTATCAGATGTGACGTTTTGTGTTTATCATTTACAGATAACATGCCCGCAATGCCTGCTCCTTTTGATCACAGGATCATCAAAGCAAAAAGAGCTGGGATTGGTAGCTTCTATCAAATCTTCTTGAATGAAGTTTTGGGAGGGTAAGTTGAACCAAAATTATGGTTCGTTCAGTGCAGAACATCTTAAAATAATCAGACCAATCCCTGGATACTGTCCTAGATTACTATAGTGCACATTAAGTAGCAGTGTAATTTGGATGAAGCAATGAAATAGCCATCCTAGTCCAGAGTAACAATGGTTTACATATTTTAAATCGATGGCTGAACAGAAAGTTGATGGTTTCTGGATTATTCTGGTGGTTCAGGAAGTCCTTCTCCTTAGCAAGCAAGCGAATCAATTCACAATTCAAATAAGTGGCCTCTCCTATACTAAAAATGAATGAGTATTCTAAATTCTACCTCAGAGCATGACACTTTCATGAGAAGGAAAGTCTGCTTGTCTTAAGAGCCGAGGTGGCTCAATTGTTAAATGCAGCACTGCAGGCTACTTCAGCTGACTGCAGTTCGGCTGTTCAAATCTCACCGGCTCAGGGTTGACTCAGCCTTCCATCCTTCCGAGGTGGGTAAAATGAGGACCCGGATTGTTGTTGGGGGCAATATGCTGACTCTGTAAACCGCTTAGAGAGGGCTGAAAGCCCTATGAAGCGGTATATAAGTTTAACTGCTATTGCTATTGCTATTGCTATTAAAGCTCTATTTTGTCCACCATACCATTTACTGAAGTGACGAGCCAGAAGCCTGGGCATTGTCATTTTTCTTGCTTCTCTTCTGGAAATAGGAGCAATCATGTTGATCTCCTAAATCCTTTATTATAATGTTTTAACAAGTATATAAGATCAGCCTTACAGTGTCAGGGCGACTGATTCTCTTAACTCCTAGGATTGCCCTAACTTCAAAATAAATGAAATGAAAAGTCACCAGACATCTGAATTTAATTATGCTTCCCCCCCCCCCCCATTTCTCTAGTGGACGATTTGGCCAGGTCCATAGATGTGAAGAGAAAGAGACCGGTCTCAAATTAGCAGCCAAAATTATAAAAGCCAGGAATGTAAAGGAAAAGGTAAGTGGGGTTTGAATAACACATTAGACATAGGAACAGTGGTGGGATTCAGCCGGTTCGCACCTATTCGGGAGAACCGGTTGGTAACTTTCTAAGCAGTTCGGAGAACCGGTTGTTGGAAGAAATCTCATTTTGTTTTTTCCCCACTTTACAGAGCTAATCCTGTAAGGAAGGCAGGAAGGAAACATTCTGGTGTTGTTTCTAGCTTAATCTTTATTGCCCTGCTTACAGAAACTGCCTCTCCAGTTAACCCTTATTGCATTGTAACAGTTGATGCGAAGCGCCCATTGACATGAGTGACATTGGGTTGGCCACACCCACCCAGTCACATGTCCACTGAGCCCCACTTACCCTGCTGGTCATTAGGGCAGTGAACTGGTTGTTAAATTATTTGAATCCCACCACTGGACATAGGGGTGTCAAACTAGCAGCCACACACAGGCCATGCCCACCCCTGGGGAAAACATCGCGAAACATCACATGACAGCAATGTGACATGGCGAGTTTGACACCCATGCCTTAGAGCAATGTATGGGCTTTGTTTCTACTAACTTGGTTTCACCTGGACAAACTTGGCTTTTTGCGTGATATAAAGATCTTAGCTATTGTACAAAGAGCAGCCTTTGAAATCTCCACTTCACTCTTCCCCACCCCTCCCCACATCAAATTAATCTATAATCTATAAAGCAGAGGTCAGAAATCAAGGTTGCTTATTGTAATTTCTTTCCCATTATTATTTTAGGAAGAAAATCTTACTCTCTTTTCTCAGCTTTTGCTCATTTGTCTAACAACAATTTAGCAAAGCTTCATTGCAGAGTTCCTCAACACTCTACAGCACTGTAGCCACCAAATCAATTTAGATAAAACCTGATCTGTCTATTATGAACTTTGCTGGTGGATATTTCCAAAAGTTCAGCACTTTGGGATTGCATTGCATTGGAAAAGGATGCTTTAATAGTTTAAACAAATACACGGAGGCAGGAAAATCAACAATACTAAAGATGGCATCAAGATTTTTGCTACATCAAGTGTAACAACATTCTTTTTTTCTTTGCAGGATGAAGTCAAAAATGAGATTAATATCATGAATCAATTGACCCACATGAACATCATTCAGCTGTACGATGCTTTTGAATCAAAAAATGATGTGGTCCTTATTATGGAATAGTAGGTATCAATCAGATGCTTATTCTGCTTATCCTTCTTAGCTGTGTCTGGAACCAAAGCCTTTAATGTGATCCTCCTCATTCCCTACTCAGCCAACAGTATGCTAAACCCAGCAATGCATAGTTATGTTTCATGGGAGTGTAGAAGGGAGTTGAAATCCGGACATCTTCAAGTTGCCAAGGTTGAGAAACACTGTCCTAGATAGTAGGGACATGTGGACCTTGACAGGTTGGAGAAAATTGTTCTTGAATGTGAAATTTTCAGCACATTGAGTAACCAATTAAGTCTATCTGTCTCTCTTTTCAGTGTGGAAGGAGGAGAACTGTTTGATCGGATTCTTGATGAGAGCTCCAACTTGACAGAGATGGATGCCATCTTATTCATAAAGCAAATCTGTGAAGGGATTCAGTTCATGCATCAAATGTATATTCTCCATTTGGACTTGAAGGTTCTGTGCATTTATTGTACTTCTTATGCAAAAACAAATGTATATACTAGACTGGACATCTTTTAAACTCAGTATTATGACTGCAGTTAATGGCCCTTTTTGATTTGAAGTTCTGAATATCACGAATAGACTCAACTCTCAGATAATAGAAGCATATTAGGAATGGGGATAGAAGTGAGAACCCAGATTCTCCTTAGACCTTGTAGACAATGGGTAGAACATCTACTCAGGTTGAGGACTGAGTCAAGCCGAGGTGGTGTAGTGGTTAGAGTGCGGTACTGCGGCCACTTCAGCTGACTGCTATCTGCAGTTCGGCGGTTCAAATCTCACTGGCTCAAGGTTGACTCAGCCTTCCATCCTTCCGAGGTGGGTNCAAATGAGGTCCAGGCAGAAGAAGAACATCATGGCTTCAAAATCTAAGGGACAGGTTTGGACAAAATTCAGCAGCATTTTGTCATGCGTCTGTTGACAAAAATAGGATTGCCAGAATGATCGCCAACCTCCGATGACGGATATGGCACAAGAATAATAGTCTCTTAATCAACATTTGGGTGCTTGGCAACTGTCACGTATTTACGACGGTTGCAACATCCTGGGGTCCATAGAATCGCCATTTGGGACCTTCCAGGTCGGCTTCCGACCAACAGCCAACGTGAGAAGCCAGATTCACTTAACGACTGCTTGATTCACTTAACAGCTGTAGTGCTTTCCTTAACTATGGCAAAACTCACTTAACAACTTTAAGAAAAATTCTGGTCCCAGTTGTCATTGCACGTCAAGAACCACCTGTAGGTCACAAGCCCGCTTATGTTTATGCTATTCTATGCAAGCTAGGATCACTAATCTAGAGGTTTCTTTACAAACCAACATCCTGTCACCCAAAACCCACTACACAGTATATGAAAAATGTACACATAAACTCTCAGCTCCAGATCTGCCAGAAATTTTATAAATATAAACTTGAGCCTCCAATTCTTATTGCCTCTTATATGGGTATAAGCCCCATGATACTCAAGGGGATTATCTTCCTATAGGGATAAGATTTCCCGGGGGGGGGGGGGCAAAAGAGGTGTGTGTGTGTCAGTGATGGGTTCTGGATTCTGTTCCAACTGGTACGGTTGGAACAGGCCCGGCAGCATCCACATGGACATGCGTAGCACGCGCATGTGTCTTAGCGACTCCGCGACACTCCAGCTGCTCAGCGGAGCAGAGTGCAGGTGCTGTTTGTGCCCTGCGCGGAAGCACCGAAGACTTAAAAGACCGGTAAGGAGCTGGTGGGCCCTCCGGAGCATCGTACCAGAATGGTATCCGGTGTTCCGGGCAGGCTCCAGTACACTCGTAACGGGGTAGGCCTGCAACCTACCACTGGTGTGTGTCATGCATATCTACCCAGAGTTGCCTTATAGATGAGATGGGCGACATATGACTCTAATAAACAAATCGACAGTCTTTGCACCATCAAACTCTTCCTAACACCCAGAGTGTACAGGTAAGTCCTCAGCCTACAACTACAATGGAGCCCAGAATGTATGTTGCTAAGTGAGCAGTTTGTTAAGTGAGTTTTGCTCCATTTTACAACTTTTCTTGCCACATTTGTTCAGCGAATCACTGCAGTTGTTAAATTAGTAATACGGTTGTAAAATGAATCCGGATTCCCCATCGACTTTGTCTGCCAGAAGGTTGCAAAAGGGGATAGCAATAGCAACAGCAACAGCAGTTAGACTTATATACCGCTTCATAGGGCTTTTACAGCCCTCTCTAAGCGCTTTTACAGAGTCAGCATATTGCCTCCAACAACAATCCGGATCCTCATTTGACCCAC